CCTGCCCCCCCCGCCCCCCCCCCCAACTCAATGGGAAGGTATTTTGTTGTCAAGTGCAGTGGGTTTCTGCAATGAGTAAGGAATCTCTGAGGACCAGAGTCTTCTCTGTGTTAACTGTCCTGTTGCTGCTTTGAGGATCAGGTAATAAAAATAGCACCAGTTAGCAGGATACTTGTTAAAATTGTCAGAGGTAGCCAGAAGGTACTTGCATTGTTTATGAGCATTAAGAACACGCTGGTGACTCGCAGGTGGCTTCTTGTCAAATCCTGTCCTATAGGTTCCTCTTAAGCTGCCATTGTTGCTACCTCATCAAAGTTAGAGAAGGGTGATCTTATTGAAAGTTGATTCTACCTCATCCAGAAAAATAGCTTCCCATTTATAGGATAAGCTTCATTTTACAATCTTTTGCAATTGGGGTGTTTGGGGGGTTTTTTTGCCTTAGAGAAATGGTAGTTCCCTCAAGAACAGTGCTGGAGCTTTTGTTCCATCTTCCAGCAGTAGAAACCACTGTGTCCAAGCCTTATTTGGCATCAAGAATAAAAACTACTCCTGTGACTTCATGAGCAGCACTTGAAAAATAGGACATTTAATAGTTTCAGCAAAGCAGTGTCATTCATACAGACATGTAAAGGGCTTGCACAACTGAAGCATTCATCAGGGTCTAAAATCTATTCCCATTCTTCTTGTGTTCCTTGCATGTTCCAGTCGACTCAAGCACCATTACTGTGATCTAAACAGCAATGCTGGTGAAAGCTCTGTGTAGTCAAACAGATTTCAAATATGGATTTCATCTGCTTGTACTGCCACTTCTCTTCCCCTGGCAGGAGTCTTAATGCTGTAATATATACCTTGTTCTTCTAGTCTGCCTCGAGAAAGTGAGTTGTGCACATCTGTCATTGCAATGGTCACTGTGTGTATTGAAGCACTTCTCACAGGAAGTGTTTTGCTGGATCTCAGAAAAATAGCATTTTAAAATCAGATTTATTGTATATGATGGTATAATCTAATAATATTAAAAAAAAACCCAACCAAACAAAAACCCCTAAAGGCTATATAGCTTCCTTGTGTGCTGCTGTAAGAGGCATAGAGAGTGTTATTAAAGCTTCACTCTAGTGAATTACAACTTTTGGAGAGGGGAAAAAGAATAGGAAAATGTTTACAAAGGCACAAGAGTAATTCAGCAACCTGGCACATGGTTAAAACACTTAGTCTTGTCTTCGAGAGTATTATTTAAAAGCAAGAAGGGACTTCTGTGGTGTCTGTACGTTTTGTGTGTGTTATACACTAGAATATTTGGCTTTTTGTATTTAAATCCTCTCTTTCTATTGGGCAAGTGAGGAAGCAGAGTTTGGTGAGAGTCCAAAACAGTGGAGTTCCCAATTTGTCTGTGGCTTTTCCCCTGCACCAGCTGTTTTCACTTGGACTATCTCCTGCCCAAATAGGAATATGCTACTTTATTGGAGAACAAAATTTCTTCATGTTCTGGCAATGTGTATATGTTGGAGGGAAATAACTGTTTTCATGTAATAGTGACTTCTATTTCTGGTAGAGGTAAATCTGGAGACACAGCTTGAACTCTGAATAAATTTTCATCTACTGCTGTCAGGGCTAACTATGAGTGGGGAGGGACGTGGCTTTAGGGGGTAGTCTCAAGAAACCAAGGTGGGAGTTGGAAGCAGGAGCTCCTGGTCTTCACACTTCATGTGGAGTTCTGAGCTCAACAAGTTCAAGAGCTTCTGCTCTTCAGAGATAAGTTTCTGCCTCATAAGTGAGCAGAGCAACAGGGACTGGCATTGGAAGGAACAGCACCATTCAATCCTCATTCAACTCTGCTGAGCTGAGAGGGAAGCGAGGTGACGGGGCCACTGATTTGCTGGGCTGAGTGTAAAGTAGTCATGAGCAAGTTCTGGTTTGCAAACTGAAGACTCTTTAAATGTCTGAAATGTGAAATTTGGAGTAAAGCTTAGAAAGAGCCTATTAAGTAAACCTCTCTGTCTACAGCTAGCTTGTTCACCTCCTTTGGTAGCAGTACAGTGCCTTAGCTTCAACAAAATTTTCCTGTGAATGATGGCTACTAAGTGGTTCATCAGCTGTGTGATGAAAAATCTTGTACTAGTTATGTCCCAAGTGCCAGTCAAATACATCATGCAGGAAGTATCTTGTGTTGCTCCTGTGTCCAGAAGCAATTTGGAAATTGGCTGAGAGAAATGGAGTTATTTTCAGATACAGAAAATGTTTTATATATGTATCAGAGCACTCCTAAGAGCCTTGGCACTAGAAATAAACATGTGTCCCTTGTGAAATATCTTTGTACTAAGCATGCAAACTTCTGTGGTTACATTAGATTACTGTTTCAAAGTAAAGTAAGGCTAAGATTTGACTTATATTAGAAGTAAGTTTTTGTATTTAAGCTTCTTTACATTGTGCTTTATGCATATACTTCATTATATACAATTGGTGTTATATGTTTAGAGTGCAGACTTTGAACTGTTTATGTGTGTATATTTTGTTTTCCAGTTGTTTTCCCCCTTACCCTTCCCAAAAGCTGAGAAATCTGTGATAACAAATATCTCTGTGGACCATAACAAAACTTTTCTCAACTGACAAGAAGAGTATGTCGTGAATACATATTGGTAATGAAGTATATGAGGGGTGTGCCTGCCAGTAATGATGCATTTGGCAATGAATCTGGCACCAACTGCTCTCAACCAGACAGAAAATTAGGATCCTGTCTAAAATGTGGAATGAGAGTTTAGTAGTAAACTTGAATTGTAGCTCTGCAAAGCAACTGTACCCCCGCAGTCCCAAAGAAACAATAGATAGTAACTCAGTCTGTGTTCTTATGAGGTATTTTCAGTCATTCATGGGAATCAGTTTTATCTTTTGTCCTTGTTTAATGAATTGCAATCCATAGCGGGTGCCATTCAGTTTTCTGGAATGCCTGCTTTCGGAATGACACCTGGTATATTGAAAGTCACAAAATGCAGATAAAGAGAGGCAAAACAAAGGCATTTTAATATCTTGCAACAGTCTGTGCTAGATACTTATTTTCTACTGCCAAGCAGAAAGAACAGAAACATACTGACTAATTTTTACCAGAACAATAATCAGACATCCACCAGTAAACATGAGTGTAGGCCAAAGGAAAGCGAAGAGGAGGCCTTTCGGGGGATAAAGTCTGCTTAAAATGACGTTGGTCTGTGTTCCTCCTGGGTCGTAGTAGCATGGGAAAGTCTGGTATTTTTTGAAATTGCTTGCAATTGTTTCTATTCGTGTTTGAACTTCATTAGAGTTCTCTGACTTGCCTGGGACATACGAGCACTGGAATAAGAAATCAAGGTGATACACATTATAATGAATACTCTGATACAAGGTTTGTAGCTAAGTCTGAGTAAAACAGTCATGCTAGTACTGACAGAAACTGTTGTGGTTTAGCTGGCATCCCTGGAGATCGTCTTTGTTTCCTTATGTCTGTAACCCAGTTGCCATGTTTCTGTCAATGTGTCTATGCCCCTAGTCTGCAGATTCACAGACCAGAATAATGTTGGAAACCAGTAATATATATGTGCTCAAAATAAAACTGCAGTCTGAGACTGTCACTTTATTATTACAGTGCCAAGCTCAGATTCCTAGCAGAGCATCTGTACACCACCATAGCAGCAATGTGTTAGTTGTGCAGGCAAACAAAGTTGCTTCACTGTGCACCTCTGGTTGTACCTAGTAGAAAAATAAGAGGAAAGCATGGCTCTGAGGGGCTTCCTACTTGTCCTTGTAACAGAATTATTTTGGCCTGTAGTAATAAAGTTATTTGTCTTCAGTGGAAATCCTATTAGACTTTGAAGCACTCTTGCTTTGTTGTTGTTCATAACAGTTTCTTTGCTGCAATATTATTTTGCGTACATAATCATGCTTAGGTGTCTTAAGCTGGAAATTGGCCAAGGCTGAAACAGGATGATTCTTCTTGACCTGAAGGCTTGTACTTGCAATAATGCAAACAGTAGGTAGGAAATCAGCGAATCATCTCATTTTTGCAGTAAACAAGGCTCTTGTTTCAATGTACAGTGGATAATTTCTGCTTGGCCACTTCATTGTATGTAGCTTTCTCTGAGATAGTGACTATGAAGATAGGCATTAGCTAGCGAAATTATCTTAATGTGTTTTATGCCATCAGATTTGCACTGTGTGAAGCTCTAATTATATAGTTTCTTTAAGAAGATGAGCACTTATAGTCTGAGCGTGTTTGTTTTGGATTCTGAAAGTGCTTCAGTCTTGGGCATCCAGGATCTGAATTTCACTTAACATCCCCTTAAGGAGTGTTGAGCTGGAGTAAGGCCTCTGAAATACTCGTGGTTTTGGAACCAAACTGAACTTGATCTTCCTGGGGGTGGCATGCCTGTAGGAGTGCTTCTGACTGGGGGAGCAAGCCTCAAAATGTTGAGCTCTTTGCTGATTCCCAAGCAGGAGCACTGATGGGAACAAAAGGATAATGCCCTACTTTTTTTACCTTCTCTAATCCTTCACACACTCATAAAGCCAAATGAATATTGTGCAGCCATATTTCTGTCCCACACATGGTCTGCAGTCATCTTCTGGTGAAGAGAGCTCTAAAACAACTGACCAAGGGACCTCTACCACAGTGCCCAGCCTCTCTTGTGTTACGCAGGTGCTTGCTGCAGTGCCACTGCCTTCTCCATGAGTCCATGCTGCCATACTGGCCAGAAACAGTTGCAGACTGGACCAAAGACACATGAATTTTCTGAGTGAACATCTTACAGAATTATCTATGTTTCTCCTTTCTGCCTCAAATGTGCATCATATTCCCAACAGCACCCTCATTTCCCCTTTCTCTGCTTTCTTTATTCCCTGCTTTATGTCATGACCCTAAAATGGAAGTAAAATTGGGATTTGTGCTCTAACTTTGGACAGACTTCAGGTCTGTCCTGTGATAATTCAACAAGTAACTGAGCAAATAATGCTTAAACTATTTCTTACCATTGGTCTTCAGCTTGGAGACTTATGTATCTTTCAGTGTTGATAAATGTTAAATGTTCATGTTTAGCTAGTGTAATTCCTTAACAAGTATTAACTTAATGTTTGAGGTGATGTTTAAAACAAAATCCAAACCCGTGTAATTTCTGGAATATTTTAAAAATGTCTTGGTCTAAGCACAGATATTAACATGTGAAAGATGAACAGCTCTTACTCTGCTGCTTGGTTTAAAAACAACCACCCCTTCTCCTCAAAGGTGTTAGATGGCAGCAGAGAGTGATTATTCAGTCTGTGTTGCAATTACCTTAGGATTTCTTTCCAGCGTATCTTCAGTCTGATAGAGCATAACCTCTTGTCCTGAGGCTGTCAGATTAACCCACACCTGTAGACAGGGATAAGGAAAGATGTCCTCATCATCTGAGCCTTCACTGTTTGGGCAGAGAACTTGGTCCTTGATGTTGGCTTTGAGTACCTTGCACACACTTTCTGTTGTCCAGACACTACAAAGACAAAACAAAAGGTATCGCTTTTAAATGTGATAGCAGCATCTGTTACAAATCGTGTGCTGGAGATGCATCTGTGTGTGCCAGCTGCAAGTGGTGGCATGGGTGGAGTTCATGGCTGTTTAGTCTTGGTGCTGTGAACTTCATCCACTCCCAGTCCATTGCTGCACCTGGAGAAGGGCTGCCATAGGAAAGCATTTTTGTTGGTTTTGCTGTTTGTTGTGCATTCTGTGGTTTGAAGCTAGATTCTAACCCCATCTGTAATCAGCTTCAAGTGTTATTCAGGAAAGAAAAATTGCTATGGATTTTAATATATGGTAGTAAATATTTGGAAGTGCAGTGCACTTGATGTCTTGGAAATATTTTGACTAATTTCATTCAGTAATTCTCAGAACTCGAATCAATTCCCGTATTCCCCCCTTTCCTCCTCCTCTTCTTTATTACAAGGACCTTTTGTATGAGTAAGTAGCAGGATTTTGTCTGGCGAAAGTTCATTTTTTGCTGTTACTTATCCCTTTTTCTCAAGAGTTACTCTTTTATAGTAAGTATTCTTTTATAATATAGTAAGCTTTTGCTTACAGCAGTACACTTTGGTGGCAAAAAAGCAAAGAAAAAAACTTATTCTAGTTCCTAAACTAATCTTTTTATATGCACATGTCTTGTAATCAGTCTGGAAAAACAAATAAAATGTGAATTACACTTTTAAAAATAATGGTTTTCAAACATTTTTGAGCTTAAAGGTGCTCTTAGAAGGAAGAATGAGGTGGATGTACTTGCTTTCTCTATCAGAGTCTTCAAGCGTGGAAAACTGAACTGCACTGGCTGTCTTGTTACTTTGTTTTTTTGCAAATTGATTTGTGGGTGGAGGCAGAACTTGCAAAATGAAATAAAAATGTGGGTAATGGCAACTTCTTCAGTATTCATTGTGTTCTGCAACATGTGCTGTGGTATACTGGGCTGTTGAAGGCACTTGTTTCTCATCATGGTTGATTTGGAAGATACAGGTTCTCAGCTGAACAATTTAACCATGAATTCTGTTGCTCAAGTTTTTATAGTTTTATTAAAAGAACACATCTGCCCTGCATTTATGCAAGACTTAGCTTTCCCTTATCAAACTTTGATATGCATAGTTGGTTTTTATTTTACATGTTTTTATAGTAAATGTTTTGTTCCGGTCTGTTCCCATTCTAGCCCTGAAGATGATCCATTCCCTCTCTCTCTTGCTTACCTGTAAATGCCTGATGACTTCTTGGCTCACTTTTTTCTTTCTCTTCTGTCTTAAAATCTTATGAGCTCTTCAAGAGCATATTGTTTATTTATTGTACAATGTAGTGACATATATTTCACCACTGTTTTAGTAATTATATTTGACAGGAAAAAGAAATAGCTTTGTACTCATAAAAAACTGACTGTTATTACCTTTTAGTGTAGAACGGCACAATGGTGATCCCAATAAAAAAGTACATCATCATGGAGCACGCAACCATTCCCAGTCCCAGGCACAGGGCTCTTGTCTCCCCTCGCTTCTGTGCAGTCACCAGCTTTTTTGCCAACATGACTGAGTTGTGAAATCTGATCAATCTCTTTCTAGAGTAAAACAAAATAGAGACAGGAGAGGGAAAATGTGACTAGGGTTGACTACGGTTATTGTGGTTGTGTAATGACTTTCTGAAATGTAATACATCCCTTGGAGGAACAATCCCATTTTTGTAAAAACTGGAACCGAAGAAAAAGTTACTGTGTTTTTTGTTATCAGTAGACTCCTTTTTTACTTTATGATATTTACCATATAGTACTTCAAAGGCGAGGTAGGGAGGAGGACATGGCTAAGAGATGGGGTAGGAAAAACTGATTACTTTTTTGGAGAGTTCTATTAACAACCCAGTTGTCCTCAGCCTTAATTCAGTCTGGTTTATGTTGCTGTTTCTCTGAAGTAAGAGATGCTGTGCTGTGTATTGGTAAGGGCTGCATGAAGGGAAAATCTTCCCACAACAGAATCCTTTTTACATTATGCCTTTTCTCAGTTGGTCTAAAATGTGGCACTCTTATGTCAAATAGCTGCAATAATTTAAAATTTAGCATTTGAGATGCCCAGTTCAGACTTCTGCATGTTTGTTGTTTGACCTTGTCCATTTAGGGATGATCAAACCTTGATGTCTAAAGCAAATTGCAAAGACAAGCTGTGTTTTCTAGACAGAAGAGGTATGATGCCGCTAAACACAATGGAACAGGATTAGAAAACACAGCAGATTAAAACTGCTGTTGTTTGACTACAAGCATGGGGTCAGGGCTGCTCTTGGCACTACTGAGAGAGTGCAAACTGTCACGTGTTGGTGTAACACTGGGGGAACTCATGCAGAGCTGTCTGAACCTGAACTTGGGAGTGACTGGCATTTTCCTCCTGCTCCCTTGCCAAATAGAATTTTAAATAACCTTGCTAATGCTTTGATAAAGAGAATATGAAAATAATCACTGTGAAAACGTGCTATTAAATCATTGTGACTGATGTATAGGTTTAATATATAAATGAGCTGTAACAGTTGCTGAGAGTTAACCCATCACCAGTGTCTGACAACTGTAACTGAAGGTTTGTGGGGTTTTGTTTTTTAATGAAAACGTGGTGCTCGACATAGTTATGGCAAATGACAAGACTGGTAAGATTGGGGGGAAGGGAGAAGGGAGGAAAGCTGAACAGAAGGAGAAAGGGAAAATGTTGCATACATGCTGAAACAGGTTTCAGTCTTGTTCGCATGTGCAAGACAACAGTGCACAGCTTCATGCAGTAGCTGGTACATTTTCAGGATTTCAGCTCCAGGTATGTGCAGCTACTTAGTGGTTATCCTTACTGGTTGGCCTTTCAGGATGGTGTGGTCCCTGCCTAAATCGACTTGTGTTCAGCCGAGCAACAGAGCAAATACCAAGACTTAAGTTTACATCCAGTGTCAGACAAGCACAAGCCTAAATTAGCAAGTAGGCTCTTCAGATTAACCATGAGTAGATGGTCCCTGGCTGCCCCAGGCTGACAGAGCTGTGGTGTTACTGGGGGTGAAGGACAACACTAAGTTTGGTGAAAGGTGAGATAAAGGCACCATCAGCTCCTGAAAGAAATAACATGAACAGAATCTGTATGATGCTTTCTTTACTGTTCTGTTTTTGCCCTGGTAAAAGCACCTTTGACTGTTCAATGATCAAAGACAAAACGTATTTGAACATTGAAATTCTGCTGGTTTTAGACTACTAAACATATTCAGGTGTTAATTAACAATAAAAGTATAGAGTCCATGGACAATAAAACAGCTTTGGTCATTTAGCGTATCCCAGAGCTAGTTACAGAATATATACAGTATATATTTTGAAGTTGCTAGGACATGATGTCAAAATGAAAGGCTGTTCTGAGGTGCCCCTAGGAACAAAAGTTGTTGTTGTTGTAATACTGAATTTTGTCCAGTTCCATATTTAATTCCACTTTAAATATCAATATCCTCTGTGAATTTTGTGTACAGCATTTGAGTGGAATTGTTTTTCTAATGATCATGTATAATTCACTGGCATTATAAGAAGTGTCTTAAGTTGGAAACTGTCGTAAGATGAACCTTACCTGCTTACTGGAATTTTGCTTTTTGTGAGCTAATACCCTTAAATAAGGCCATATTGTGTTTTTCTTGGTCTGTGAGGCTATAAATAGACCATGTGGCATCAAGCCCTGTCAGTGTGCTCACGCGATGCCTGCATACTTGTGTCTAACCATGCACAGAGGCATGTGCACCCCACAGGGAAACTTGCATAAATGTTGGTGGTGATTGGTTCCTTGGAAGCTTCTGTTGTTTCTTTTAGTTCTGTGGGGGAAAAGTGGAAATAGCATTTTCAAAACCCCAAACAGTTCCCCAATAATTAAAATATTGGAACACTGCAACACAGCACCTTAAGACCAATTGCTATTAAACTGACTGTCCTTTACTGATTGTGCAGCTTGGTCGGAGGGGTAAATGGAATAAAGGAACATCATCAGTCCTGGACCACAGGCCCTGAGTCCACATGGTGCCCAAGTGGCAGTTCCTTATAATGAGAAGCTAATGACAGGGAAGTGAAAACTTGTGTTGTTAATGGGAGATCCTTACATAACAGTAACAGTGATTAGTCTTTGATTAGTTGAAAAAGTGAAAGATTGGTACTGCTACCATGACTCGTGGAAAACTTCTGGTGGCCTAGTGCTGTTGATGTCTTGAATTTTAGATGAAGCATAATGTTTATGTAGCTGTCCCAGTTGTGCTGAGGGGTAATTAGACCCCTTGTTACATGGAAAATAAGAACTCTGAGACTATTAACCAAAGAATTAGTAAGAAATGTAATTGCCCCATCGGTCTGCTTGAATGTCAGCCACATACTCAGCAGAAGTACCAGTAAGCTTATCCTTCATTATCATCTTAAACTGCCAGACTTCATGATACATAAGAAATCAGTGTGTGTAAACTGTGATTGTTCACGAGTGTTCACGAGGTTTTCCCAGTGTTATGTGCAGTGTTGTTCCCCATCCTGACACCAGCTGGGCAGCCTGACATTGGTTTTCTGTGTGGGCTGCTAGGTGATCCTGTTTGTCTCTGCTCCCCTAATTCAGATGTCAGCTCTATCCCAAAGAGAATAAGGATGCATAAATTATGCAGAGAACGTTAACAAGAAAGATTCATCTAAAAATATCTCACCAAGTGCTTCTATAAACATAAAAAATAACTGGCTAGGTCTCCAGGCAGTGTAAATCAAAGGTGCTCACGTCACTGTTGTGTTGCTGCACCAGATTAACTGTGGTCTCTGAAGCTGAAACACATACTTCCTGCTGCATTTTTTTACACTTAAAATTTAAAAGACCAGAAAAATCTGTAACACTATTTCATGCATGTGCAGAATAATTTAAGAGGAAATCCAAGGCAGTGAAGGAAACCCCATATGCATTTTTTTTCCTTTCATACATCAATATTATGTTCGTGTGCCGAATGTCTTGCATTATTTGTCAAGGCAAAGCTATGCTGCAGGCGTATAGAAAAATATTTTATTTGGAATTTCTCCATTGTTTAAAAGGTTAATATTTTTTTTGATTAAAAATTTTTCTGTCAATGTATATGAGGAGGAATGTTGAAAGAGCTAATTGTTTCCTCTGAAAAAATCATTAAACCTTTGGAAAAGGAAGCACTGCAGAGGACTTGATTGGCCCAGGAAGTCTCTGACTGTATTTGAATTTGGAAGATCTTGAAGTGTATAACGTGGGTTTTAGTCCAGCCTTCAAGAGCAAATCTAAATGCAAATCTTTTGTACTGAAGATTGTGGTATGCCTCCATAATTAGTAGGAAAATATAAACTCCAAATCTTTTAATAATGTTCCCTCTCCCTAATCTTTTTTGATCTAGTTAAATTACACAGTGTATTAGCTGTGCAATTTCAGTGTATAATCGCTGTGTTGACAGCTGCTGGTGATAAACCCAGGGATGCCATCTGCTCGGGTTTGGAATAGTCCCCTGTTTTGATTAGTAGACATCTTTGATACTTGGTGGGAAGTCTCTGCTGCCTCCTCCCCTATCTCTTGAGGAGTTTCCAGTGCTGTGACCTCCATGAGTTTAGATGAGACCTCTCTCTTGAGCTATTTCAGGCTGCTCTTAACTTGGGTATGACAGTGTCAGTAGCACTGATGAATTCATCTCCCTCACTTGCCAAATAAAGGGTGCTAAACCTTTCTGCCAAATTTAAGTTGGGATTAAATATTAACAGTGAGCTAGTCATATTTTTTTTTTAAGCTGGTCTATCCTACACCATATGGTGAATTTCCTGTGAGCATTTATGCATTGCTTTCGGATGAGCATCAAGTGCTAACGCTACATCACACCAGGAGGAGTGATTGCAAGTCACCTACATCTCTAAAGTAATGCAGAGTTTTTAAATAGGCCTGGGCCCTTTGTCCTCTAGTGCTTCTGCATACAAAAGAGCCATTTACTTTCTCCTATCAAGTGCCAACTTAATAGTCACCTTATTTTAGTCTCCAAACACCTTGTGTGAACAACATAAAAATTGCTGGCCTTGCTGGGTGTGTAACAGGAGCACAGTATTTATTGCCAGCTTATTGCCCAAGTACTTTATGTGGGAACCAGAGAGCATTTTAAGTTTTAGATCTATAAATATGAGTTCTGTACTGGTATGCTACTGTGGCAGAGCTGCATAGATTACATATTTACTAGTCTGAGTAGAATTAGTGTGATCACTCATACTTGCCTACCTTTTTCCATGGGTATTTTAACACTGCTTAGATTCTTCTTCCTTTCTGTTTCAATCTTGCCCTCATCTTTTTCTTATTTACTGCTCCACCAGTTACACCCTGGACAACAGGCCTGAAGTCAAAAATACATTTGTGTTGGCACTTGCTTCCCCTCTCCCCACCCTCCACTTCCTACTCTAACACTTATATGTGTTTCTTGCTGGTAACAGGTCTGCCTTTGCCAGGGATGCAGGGGCCAGGGAACACTGGTTTTGTTCATTGCAGATTGATAAGAACCCATTACCTATAAACTGTTCTGTGCACCTGAGACCACAAATATTGTGTATGTTACAGAACAAGGCAATGCTGAACCCTGATAGAAATGCGCACAGTGAAGAAGATTCTGCTGTGTACTCATGCAGCTGTCTTAGAAACCTGAAGCAGCAGTATTTTGACCATGTAACCGAACTACATTTATTTTTCCGAAATATGATGTATCATTTTCCTTTATTAATGAACTGTTTACCTGATGTGATAGAGTGAATTAAACAAGGTAGCTTTTTAGTTTAAAAACTTACGCAGTTGTTTAAGAGTAATTCTGTTAGCTTTTAAACCTGATAGTTCTTAAAGGAAAAAAAAGAAAAGTTACATGTTCAATTCAGCAGCTCTGAAATCTTTCTAGACTGCTGCTTTTGGATTCTGTGCAGTACCGGGCTGCACAGAATGAATCAATTTAAGAGTAGATTTCAGGGAAGCCTGAAAGAGTTCAAGGGCCTGTTTCCTCTCTTAAACTTTAATTAGAGGTAGACAAGCACAGCTTCTAAAGGAATGCTGGACACCCAAAGCCATGAAACTCCAAAGAGTAAAATTGTATTTACCATTAAAATGAACAAAAGTCATTTTAATGCTTTAATTGCTAATAAATATGGAGAATTACCAGATTACATCCAGTTACAAAAGAGAGAACATCTGACTTGTCTGTACCATGTGGGCTCTCTGGGCTGTCCTCCATTAGTGCTGCAGATTTAGAAAGATTATTGCTTCCAAAACCACTACTTTTCAGAACTCAAAAGCTATTGCATGCTCCCAAGGAAAAACATATACTTACTGTTTTTGATGAAATGCTGCTTTCTCTGATGAAAAAACTTCTGTTACATGACAGATGTGGGATAGTAGTGGAACTCAGAGCTCAAAGGATTTTTTTATTATTATTTTTTTTCCTTTCCTGTACTTCTCTGGGTTTGCTTTGCTGTGGCTGAACTCCTAACATCATTCCCCTATTACAAAGCTTTTTGTAACCATAAATGGTAAGGTATGAAGGAGCACTGTCCTTTTTGAGATTAATAGCTGAAAACCAGGAAGTCACAATGCAAAGACCAACTACATCTGAAAAGACTGTTTTCTCATGCCCTAGGGCGTCTTTACCACATATCCCACTGGATTTGTCTGGGATTTAATCCTGGTGAATTAAAGCTATGGTCATACTACTTATGTACAGCTTTTTAGTTTAGAAATCTGATAGGTCTTTTGGGTAAGGTTTAAGGAGTGACTATCAATGACCACTGGTACTGATTCTTAATTCTTAGTACCTGAGCTATTAACAGCTATGTGTGAATGCTTTGTTGCCACTAGTTTTGGTCAGTTTGGATGCAACGGATGCTGAAATTTTGACTGTACATTAGATCCCTGTAGACAAGAACAAAGCATCCATCATGCCGTAGATATATTAGTGTCCAGCATGTTCCTTTAGCCAAAAAGATGAGTCTGCTTCTGGGACATATAAACAGATGACTCAGCATAAAGCTTCAGAGAAGACCTAAAAAAAAATTTATTTATTTATTTATTTATTTATTTTCAGAGAGAAGAACTCTTTTATTGGGAGACTAAAGAAACAAATTAGTTAATCCAGTAAAAGCATTAAGAGTGTTCTGAGCATTGTAAACAAGGGTAGAATCCACTCCCCCCTGCTTTTTAGGTGTCTAATAATTAGATGTTTCAGTTTAAGCTGGTCTTCTAGGCTTGCTTCTGGTAAAAAAAGATTTGAAGTTTACATGTTCAGAGAGTTCATGCTGTCTGAAGATAACAGATGAATCTCTCCCAAAAGAACCTTCTCTATTATTATTGGTGCAGAAGAGAGCACACCAAGCTAACTTGGATGTAGAAAACTGTCTGTTAGACACTTAAAGCTAAGTAAGATGAAGCCTGCTACTATCATCTAGATTAGGAAGATTTATGATCGTAGTCATTTTTTAATATTTGAGGAGTGATGTAGCTAAACTTAAAGAATGACATTTGAAGGTTGGAAAAAGAACCTTACGAACAAAACTTATTCCCAGGTAAAATATGATCTGGTTGAGTGGAGTCTTCTATCATTTTTCTGATACTTAGAAAACAAGACTGGATATTTCAAAGATGTAGGCTCTGGCTCAAGGAAGTCATGCTTTTAAGGAGGAATTTATTAAAAGTGATTTTTCGGCTGTGTGATTCAGGAGTCAAGGTGGAAAACAAGGTAACCCCGGCTGACTGAAATCCATGAATTTTCAACTGTGGCTGTCTCTTCTGCCTGCTCTCCTTAGCCCCAACAGCTAAAACACACAGATCAACTTTTAACTGCTGCACTAAGGAGTTCTACTGCAAAATTAACACAAAACTTGTGGATTCCACAAGCAAAACAGATTACATATTTGAAGTTTCTCAGTGTACTGAAGGAGGTGGTGGTAGAGTTCCTTGGCTCAGTTTGAGGTGCACTGGTGACTTATTTAAATAATGGAAGCTATGCTCCAAGTCTGGTGCTACACGTTACCTTTTGCTTGTTTCTTTTCCTCACATGTACGCTGCAGATGTGCAAGAGAACTAACCCAACAGAGTAACATGGGTGTGATAAAGGGAGGTGCTGTGCTGATACCAGCTTCTAACCTTGGGGTATTTCAGTGTGCCACTGACCTACTGAGTGATGTGTGTCCATACGAGCTGTATCAATGGCAAGCCAAATGTTTGTTATATTATAAACTCTAATTCTGTATACAGTCTCTGTCTTACCAAAACTACATATAAATATTTTTTTTTTTTTTGGTAACTTTAGAGGAGAGAGGAAAAAGGTAACAATCTGGTGATTGAAATCGCCATGCACTTTTGCCATGGTCCTTTTCTTTGCAGGAGCTGCAGTGCTCCTTCCTTCTGACTGTCAGGGTGGAACACTGTGACCCAACTCACCTGCTTGTTCAAGGTGGGATTTCCCTGCTCTCAAGGGAGCACAACACCAGCTGTGGCCTCTGCATGAGGTTCTGCTGCTGGGACACTAATTCACTGCTTATTTCTAAGCTGCATAACTGGTGACGCAGTTTCTCCTGGCCTTGCACTGACCAGAGAGGGAGTATGGGGTCACTGCTGGAAGGGCTGACTTCCTGAGAGTGCTCTTTGAGTGTGGATGGCAGAACAAATTGAGACCAGTTAGCTGGAGCTAAAGGCAGTAGGCCCTGTTGGTCTATGTCCTTTGCAAATACAATTTTTATCCAAGATCAAAAATTTTGCAGGGGCCTTCCCGAGCTTTGCTTAAGGTGCTGTTTTGATGTTTGATCCCTGACAATAATTGGGGGAAGAAAAGAGGGAAGACATACAATGTCAGAGTAGGCTTTTCTGAACTTCATATACTCTGTTTCAAATGTGAGCAAGTTTCTTTTCAATGTTTTGCTTCCCACTTACTTTATTCCAATGTATTAAACCCTTTGGCTAAGGGTAAAATAAATTAAATTTGAGGAACAATTTCCCATGATTCTTTAAAAATGAGCAATGCTTCAACTTGGAAAAAAATGCTGTCTCTAAGTTAGTGAAGTATCTACACTTAGAATTATCAGTCTTCAGAACTGCAAGAAGCTATCAGACAAATTAAAGAGAATTAAATATTTCTAAGGAGTTATTTTTTTTCTGTAAGTGCTAGTGGAAAAATTAATGTGGGAGAGAAGGCATGTGGCTCTGAAAGAGAAGTTGTATAAACATTAGCGTACAAGGATTGTAGCTCTGTTTTTTAAATAAAAATATGAAGGGACTGTAAACATTACAGCAGTGGCAGTGGAGGGGAGTTGCTGGTGTTTATTTGCTATACTGCTCTGTAATGCGTACTCACTCAAACTGTGGTCCTGTGTGCACCATCTGTATTGTAGAATGCTTTGTTCTAGCTCCCTTCTCTTTCTGCTAGGGCCTGTCATTGCAGGTGTGTGTTAGCTCAGAGGACTCAGCCCTCCCAAGGAATTGCACCGACTGCTGTCATTCTGAAGCTTCAAGGAAGCTCAGGAGAGTCTGGGTTGACCTGATGGGCTACTGAACAGTTTGTTTCTGTGTTGTTATGTGAATTAAACTTACTTTGTGCTTGCAGGTGACCTATTTTGTATTAGGCTCTTCTGTGTAACGGGTGGATCTTGCTCAAAGTCCTAGTTGGATTTTATGGGTAGTGTCAGTAGGCAAGCAGAAGTGCTGTGAATTTGCAAACTGTGAACTCCCTTTTGGCTCTAATGTAAAGAGCAGTTCAGGAGTTTAAAAGGGGAAGGGTGGGGGGAGCAGTATCTTTTAGTTGGTTAGAACTGCTTATTCAGTTTGTCTAAGCTCATCATCCATAAGGGTTGTTTTCATTTAGGGCATAGGAAAAACTTAATGGCTGTGAGACAGAGCCTGTTTAATAAGTATTGCAGTTTTATTTCCAGGACTTTCTGGTCCTTCTAAAGAATCAGTGATCTGTGAAATGAGAACAGTTGTTGAGATCTTCAGAGAGCCTTGCAAATTATTATCTACCCCCTTCCTAATTGAATCATAGTCATAGTGTAGTACATTGTCATCATTAATGGGCATCATAAAGAGAAGCTGTGGCTCTTGAACAAGGAACAGTCACATATTAAAAATTATGTGAGTTATAAGGAGGAGGATGTCCTAAATGTTGGCATGTCTAAATCAGGCACAAGCGAAATTCAGGACTCAGCTGCTTCATTTCAAGTAGCTAATTTAACAAATGCTTTGCTGGACTTGCTGATAACTCACCTGTCTCATGAGGGCTGAGGGATTTTGAGTTGTTTGGCCTCCAAGTTCTCAGTGTGGAGGCTGTGCAGTTGTGATGATTCCTTGAGTGAAAGGTAGCTGTGCTGTGATGGGCATCTCTGTGATATCTTGTACCTGTAGTATAGCCTAGTGCTGTGGTAGGACTTCCTTTCTCTCTGAAGTTACTGAGAACTTTCTTACTACTGTATCTTGAAACTGAAGTTAGAGAGAATGTTTGACTGTGTGCTGCATCCAACCCTCTGTGTATACATACAAACGGATTTCAGAGATTAAGGACATTGGCTTTCAATTAGAGAATAAATGCATATGCTTTTTTCTCAGTTTGGATCTTGTATGTGTAGTCGGTTCTTAATAATGTTATTCCAGATAGAGGAGCCCTCAAATTTTTTTAAAAAAAAGACCACCGCAAAAAAAACCAAAAAAAAAAACAAGCTAACCAGCCAAACTCACACCACATTGTATAGAACTTTCAATTGTGAATTGGAAAGTATTTTACAAAGGAAGCACATTATTGTTTATCTTTGTTTTATTAGATGGACACAAGGTGATAACGGCCATTGCCTGGCCAGTGAGTCAGTCAGATGACTAGGTTCTGAGTTTCTACACCCGTACTCTGTCTAGTTTGTAGTTAAAGGTACAGAGGAGGTGTGGAGGTTGCTCTGAGACCATGGCCTCTTCCACTTTACTCCTTTTACCTGTCACCGTGATTTGTGCTATCTCACTGTTACAGGCTTTGCTGTATTGACAGTGGCAAGCAAACCTAAATAACAAATTTAGTCTGAAAGTGTTTCTCAGGCATGAGATGATTGCATGTCATGTTATACTTGATGCTGATGGGAACTTCATGCAGAGACTTAGTATCTGATTTCGGGTAGAAAGAAATTGCTAGGAACACACATTTCTGTTCAGCTTCTCATGTTCACATTAACTACAACTGGAAGTAAATATAAGGCCTTTACTGAACTCGTGAACTTAGTACAGCAACTCTCTGATACAATACAGTATGAAATACAGCGTACAGGTATCACGTGCTGATGCTGGGACATGTAAGCATTGCAAATAACCAGGGCAAAAGCTTAACCAAGATAGGATGGAGAGCTGACTCTGTTAGTGCTGTTGTCTGTGAAGTTGGTTTCTGCAGTGAAATGGGTAAATTTCTGTTCTGAACCTTGTCTGTTCAGTGTTTGTACTGTCTGAAAG